GGCACATTGGCGTACTCGTACTAGTGTAAGGTGTAATGTAGTGGAGTGTACAAGTAAAAAGCTTGCCAGTAGCAAAAAGCCGTAAGATAAGCAGTTTTGCGTGGTGTATTTATTTATATTAGTAAGTGCCTTGAAAAATGTGACCTTAAGGCGAAAATACACATACTGGGAGCTGGCCCACATGCATACACAGAAAAAAAGGATTTCTACTAATAAGAAAGAGCAATTTCTCAAAATATTTGCTAATTCTGAAAACATATTTATTTAAAGTAATAAAATATTGTCATTACAAAGATACTGCTTATCTTTTTCTAATACAATTTTACTCTTAACTTTATTCTAACTTTGAGACAAATACGTTCACTTCAAGATTTTATTTCATTTCTAATCAATTAATTGGACATTACTTACATCAAGAAATTTTTTCCTCTTACATCAAATCTAAATAATCTCAAATGAATCCCCAATTTCTTGGATGTATTTTAAGAAAATATTTTCTTAGATAAAAAAAAAGTTATTTTGCTAATAAGAGTAATATTCTAAATTCGAGAATACATTTTTTATGGCAACATTTTGCTTTGTCATTTTCAATCATGTCGTGACATGTTGAAAACGCGCGCGCTCCGTCTTCGTGGCCGTGGTATCTGCGATTGAAGAAGCCATCCATAAATCAATAGCCAATTATTTAAAATGTGAAGCAAAGTGAACTATACTTACTTAGTTTTACTTGAAATCTTAAAAAGGTAAGGCAAGGAGAATAAAATCTTAAAAAGGAACTGATTTTTCTATTTGTTGTTTGTGGAAACAGTAATGGATTCGTTGAAAGAACTTTTGGAATCGTGGAATATACCACAAGTTGTAGTGACCAATTTTATTGGTGAGTGATTTGATGTTATTATGAATTAATTGTGTAAGTATTACATTTTTATGCACATGATGATATTTTGTACGTAACGTTGAATGTAAGCGTAAAATGGAGGGATCTTAGACGAACTTTTCCTAGAAATAGGTATACAGTATACTTAAACATGGGATTATTTAATTTATGAGTTTTTATGTAAATAATCTCTGTTTAGAATCCCGATTTAATGTCGTCATTGTTTATTAAAAATAATGTATCTACCTTTGAAATGCGTGACTTCGACAATTAGCATTTTACAATAGAAACTAACTTTTAACTGCCTCCGTGGCGGTTACCTTGCCGGACTGCCACGCAGAGGTCCCAGGTTCGATTCCTGGGCCGGGAGAAATATTTATACGGCCTACATTTATTTCTCTCGTGAGTTTGGGTGCAGTTTGTGGTTGTCTATGTGTGTGTTCATGGCACTCGCGACACAGGGTTTCCCTAGTGCGGGGTATATTCAGTGTATGTGTTATTGAGTGTGTGTGTTATTAAACTAGAAGTAAAATACATAAAAAGATATTTGATTTAATTTGACTTTATTTACAAACTTGACTACTTTTGCAGAGAATGGTATAACAATTGAACATTTCCCCAAATTAAAACTAGACAATTTGAAAGAATTATGCCCACATATGGGGACTAGACTATCTTTAGAGGAAAAGATAGGGGAGCTTATTACTGCACAGGTGAGGGACCTGTATGTTTAAGTTAAAAAATTTAGTTGAAAGTGCTTTCATACTGACTATCTTAACATAGCTTGACTATAAAATACACAAAATAGTCTATTTTTTTAACTTTACAGGCAACGACAGATGCAGTATCTGAATCAACTGATGATCAAGTCATTATTACTCCCACCTCCAGTAAATTAGAGACAAGCACCAGTGATGCCGGTTTATTAGTTTCATTAGATGAACTACAAGTGGTCGACATCTTGGAAACAACCAAAAGTGTATCTAGAAAAACATTTCCACATTTTGATTTGGAGACACTACTGCATACGTCAGCAGGTGGCAATAGTATTTTAAAATACTATGAAACATATGGTTTTCTCAATAATACCAAGAGAAACCAGTTGACTGATATAATTATAAAACATATATACACATACATTGTCAATTAGTAAGTATATACTGTATATATTAGTAAGTATATACTGTGTTCTGATTACTTTTATACTTCCCAATAATACATCACTAAAATTTTTTTAGCCGGATAACCTATGAAGAATATAATATTATATCTGCGAAAATAATATCACTGTTTCCAAAGGAGTCAATAGGCACTTATTTTACCAAACCTATAAAAAAAAATAATTCATTTAATGGACGTTCTACAGTAGCACGAGGAAAATTGGTGGACAAAGTCCGTAACCTTCTGTATAAATATGGAGACCACACACACAAGCGACAATCTGGCACTCTAGAAAATGCTCCACCGTTTAAAAGACAGTATATTCAAGGTTTGCAAGGTAATTTTTTTTTAAATGGGCTTGCAATTAAACCCACTGACTTTCACTGGGTTAAAGCAATTTATGAACCTATTTAGGTATTTGAGAGTAGGTATTCTAAGTCGCATCATTCTGGGTATTTAATACAGGTAAATGTAACTCGAAATCCTCTGTAAGTGGGCCCCATTTACAGTGGTCCAAAAATTTTTCTACATATAGGAGTAACAACCCATTTAAAATAAACATTAGTTTAGCAAAAATCAATAGCTTAAGTTATGATTTTTTTATGTACTTTCTTGAAAATTTTCTACTCTAGTCAAAAGTTTAAAACTAGTCTATTTTGAAAATTATTCCACTAAATTAATTGAAATTTGGTATTAAAGTAGTAGTAACCATGTAGCTAGCATGCAATGAACCATTTTTGTGTTTGTTCTTAGATTGCTCCGTTATTTTTTAGTCAATTCATGTTCATGAGTTTCTACAATTTTAACTCTCTAATGGTCATAATGTACACAAAAAGAAAATGTTTAAAAACATATGTATAGAGAACTTCTGATAAATAGATAGGTTTGAGAATAATTTCATGTAAATCTGAGCTGAACCAATGTTTTCTCTTGAGAAATTAAGTTAAAATTGTTTGAATAACGATTATGATACTGGTGGTGGTTTTAATGACTAGAGTAGAAAATATTGAAAAAGTATGGATGGCAACGTATCAAGTTACACATTGATGTATCTTGTTCCGTTGCACTGGAGGCGATTTTCAAATAAAAATGTGTGGTCTGATGTGCTATTGAATGTACATAAATAATCATGATTTCTAAACTATTGAATTTTGCAGAACTAATGTTTATTTTCGATAGGTTGTTTTGTTACTATGTCCTCTATCTAAAAAAAATCTATAATATTATTATTATTAGATAGGAACAGGTACTTACGTGGGAAAGGCATTTGTCAGCTGATTGAAATGCAGGTAAATAATGAAAGTCTTACAAAACATTTCAATAAGGATAAAATGAAACACTAACATGATTTTTTTTAGATTTACATTTAAGAGATATACTGTTTCTCAACAATAACACCGAACCATGGGGTGAAGTAATACAAAAATGGAAAGATACATTTAAAGTTCGAAAAGAAAGTGAACACAAGAGCGTTCATGAGTTTCTACAAGACTGGAAAATATTATCAGACCAAAGAAGTGACATATTGGTATGTAATCTGTTTTCATATGTTTTACGTTTTATTTCTGAGCTAGGGTTCCTCCATCTTGACGCAGACCAATCATTTTGACAACTATGATATTTGTTTTCAGATAAACATTGACTTCGACTTGTTGTATCCAGAAAAAGGGCTGAATTTTTATTTAAATTGGAAAATATTTTTCGAAAAAATTATTGCTTTTAAACCGAACAGAGACGAAAGAATCTTGAACCTTATTGAGTCACTGAAAAATTTAGACAATGATTGTAAGTGTCCGTTTTTAATTTTATAAAGCTTGAGATAGAATTAGTAAAATAAATAATAATAATAATAATAAGAAAATGTTTATTTCAGTAATGCAATTAACTTTACATTAACAGTGGATGGTACCTTCTATTAAGCTTGTCAAGCGTCAGTGTCAGGAGGTACCGCTCTTCCATAGCTATAAATTCACATTTAACATTTTTAACTTAGTCTGTCTGTTCGTCGGTCCGTCTGTCGGTCAGTCAGTCGGTCAGTCGGTCAGTCGGTCAGTCGGTCAGTCGGTCCGTCTGTCCGTCGGTCCGTCGGTCCGTCTGTCCGTCGGTCCGTCGGTCCGTCGGTCCGTCGGTCCGTCTGTCCGTCGGTCCGTCGGTCCGTCTGTCCGTCGGTCCGTCGGTCCGTCGGTCCGTCGGTCCGTCTGTCCGTCGGTCCGTCGGTCCGTCTGTCCGTCGGTCCGTCGGTCCGTCGGTCCGTCGGTCCGTCTGTCCGTCGGTCCGTCGGTCCGTCTGTCCGTCGGTCCGTCGGTCCGTCGGTCCGTCGGTCCGTCTGTCCGTCGGTCCGTCGGTCCGTCTGTCCGTCGGTCCGTCTGTCCGTCCGTCCGTCTGTCCGTCCGTCCGTCTGTCCGTCCGTCCGTCCGTCCGTCCGTCCGTCCGTGTGTCAGTGTGTGCGTGTGTGTCCGTGCGTGCGTGCGTTCGTCCGTCCGTCCGTCCGATCGATTGGATCGATTGGGCCGATCGATTGAATTGTCTGTTTGCAAATGTTGTATTTACTTGAGGTACTTTTACCACAATGTCTTTCCTTCTTCTCTTCGAAATATTTAGATCTAGTTTAGAGGCCTACGTTGTCTGATTACAGTTTGAGTGGTATATAGTTTCGCTACAGTGGCTAAATTTGATAGATAAAATTGTATAATATTATTTTCAATTGTTACAGTAACACTTCCTGCTGAGCTTAAAATACTCGCACATCTGGTGCCTCCAAAGGGAAGAATTTCAAAAAAAATTAAGTTCACTACTCAGGAAGCAATTGACTCCTTATATATTTGTGTGCCGGTATGTTTTTTTTAATAGCCCCGCCCTAGGGAAACCCTGTGTCGCGGGTGCCATGGATATACACATAAACAATCACAAATTACACTCAAACTCACGAGAGAAATAAATTTAGGCCATACAAATATTTCTCCCAGCCCGGGAATCGAACCTGGGACCTCTGCGTTGGCAGTTCGGCATGGTAACCTTTCGGCCACGGAGGAATTTATATATGTCGACTCATCCGAAGTCCGATATGATTATATAACGAAAAGAGAATAAGTACGTTACGAGAATAATTTCGTTATTCAAACTAAGGCCTGTGTAAAGGCGTTTTGACAATTTATATATCTTATTTCGTTTCGAAAATACAAAATCCAACAACAGTCGATCTGACATTTACAGCGAAGAAGAACAAACGAAATGTACTATGTCCTGAGAACAAGTAGTCTTGCACATATAGATCTTTGTTCTACGGATGAGTAGGTATATATATATATACATATACATATATAAAACTGTCTCCTGTATATAATATATATATGTATTTTTTGTTTTCAATATTTATGCCTCATATGCCTCATTTATAATATTACTTTGTGGTAAAGATTGGCTCACAAATCTGTTGTGGCTACTTATTATGTTTCATTATGTACTCTTAATACTATCTTAATTTCTAGAATGCTGGCGATATAGACCAAGTAATCAAAGAACAAAAACAAAAGGCGACAAGCAAGAAATTGTCTGTTCAACCCTATGTTATACTCCAGGGATCTTTGCTAGAGTGTGGTTCACCGTTACTAATAGTAGATGATGTAAGATATCAATTTTTAACCATAACAAAAGCTTTTGATACTCTTTTTAAACTTTACCATACCTTCAACGTTAGATATCCCAGAGCAGGCGACCATTTATATTTGATCATACAAAGATGTGTATATAATATAGAAACTAAGTACGATAACGTCGTACCGTATATAATTGACGTTTTGAATATGTGATTTAGCTAAACACCACTTTCAAGGTTTCATAAACTCAATCAGAGCAGGGCCCACTCCCAATTGAGTTGTTCATGCTATTCTTTGAAAAAAAAAACAGTTTATACACAGACTTTCAATTAGAAAGAATTTTCTTACCACTTCTAACTCAGTTACGACAATTTATGCAACAATAATTGCTACAAGTGATATTTACAATATTGTTAACCTGATCAATCTCCGACTAAAACTCTCTGTGTTTCGCTTATTGTCAAAATGGATTTGAACTGTAATTACTGTCACAAAATACTTCATGATTTTAAGCAATACATTTTTCATTTAGAAACTATCCATAAAATAGGTAACTATTTTGTCTGCCCTTTTGAGAGTTGTAAAAGAACATATGATAAAAAAAATCGTTTTAAAAATCATTTAACAACGTGTTACAATTCAAATCGCAATAGGAATAGTACTTCTTGTGACAATAGTATTAATATCAGTAACTCCATCCTGTCCGAACAAAGTTCATTTCCAAGTACCAATGATACACACCAATCTTTTGACACATCACCGTCGAATGATAAAGACACTGGAAATGAATCTTTTATAAAATCTGTAAAATCATACTTAAATATATTTGTATGCAATTTATATGGGTTTGTTAGTTTACCAAGATCTTTAATACAAACTTTGATAGAATTAGTTCAAACCTTAATCCACAACATCACTTCAAATATACACGAAACAGTTAATAACGAACATATAGATGCCACTAAAAGAAACATTATTGTACTAGAAATGATATTAGCATTACCAGACATATTTAAAGACTACGATACAGAATATAAGCGCTTGAAAAATTTAGTTGACAATGAGTATTATGTAGCCCCTGTAGAAGTAAAGATCGGAACTGTCAAAGATCGACGTAGTGAAAATAATGATGTAACAATGATGCTAAAGGAAAGAAAACTTTACATGACACCACTTAGACAAACATTAAGCAATTTTTTAAACTTACCTGGAGTACTTTCTCACATTCTTAATTATCAACAGATGCTTTTGGACGAGAGTAATGTAAGTAACGGTGATGTGATTCGAAATGTGATTCAAGGATCGTTGTGGAAAGAACTTTCGGCTAATATAGACAAAGACAGTATCGTTATCCCTTTAATTTTGTATTTTGATGATTTTGAAAGTGGCAATGCCCTAGGAAGCCACGCTGGCGAATATAAGTTAGGTGCAGTTTATATTTCTATTGCAACTATTCCGCCAGAACAATCAAGTAGGTTAGAAAATATTTTTGTGACTCAAGTATTTTATTCAAAGGACAGAGTATTTTTTGGCAATGGGGCAATTTTTAACAAATTAATTGAAGAACTTAAGTTTTTAGAAGAAGTTGGCGTTGGTGTTTTATTGTCCAAAAATATCATTACAGTAAAATTTGTATTAATAACTTTATCTGGAGATAACTTAGGACTCCACGGCGTATTAGGACTTTTCGAAAGCTTTATGGCTACATATTTCTGCAGGTTTTGTTTGACTACCAAAACTGAATCTGAAACCCAATCGTGTGAATTAAATAATCTACGAATGCCTTCTGAATACAATCAACATGTTGAAAATCGTATAGGAATTAAAGAAATATGTGTTTGGAATAATTTGAAATATTTTCATATTTACAATAATGTTACATGTGATGTGATGCATGATCTTACGGAAGGGGTACTAAGGTATGGAATGGCCCTTGTGATTAGAAGTCTAATAGATAAAGGATATTTCTCACTAGATCATCTGAATTCTAGGATAAAGTACTTTAAGTACAATACTAATGAGAAAAACACACCACCACCAATCAATAATCAACACTTATTAAACAAAAGTTTAACTATATCTGCTTCTGAAATGTTATGCCTTACAAGAAATTTTGCTTTTGTGGTTGGAGATTTAGTTGAAAATAACGACCCCGTTTGGAACTATTATTTAATATTATTGGAAATAACAAATGTTCTCACTTCCCATTCGTTTACTTCAGACCTAATAGATTACTTAAAAAGTATTATTGAAGAACATCACCAGCAATACCTTAATTTATTTCAAAGTAAATTAAAACCCAAACATCATTTCCTTATTCATTACCCTACAATTATAAAAAAAAATTGGGCCGCCTATACTTATAAGTGCTTTTAAATACGAAGCGAAACACAAAGAGTTAAAAAAGGTTTGTCAGTCAATAACATCACGAAAAGATCTTCCTCAATCTGTTATGAAACGTTGTCAACTAAAACAAAGTTTTCGATATGCAACTGAGAAAGGTTTGACGGATAATCTTTTGTATGGTAAATATGAATTTGATGAAGGCCACTGTGGTGCAGACAATTGCATTTATGTTGATTGGTGTGAATTAAACGGAATTAGGTATACCGTAAATAATGTTTTGCTACAAGATATAATTGAGGATATTCCCAAATATTATATTGTTAACAAAATAATGATTAATCATTGTACTAATGACATATTATTTAAATGTTTTTTTTTAGATATTGTTCATTATAATGCTCATTTCAGAGCATATAAAGTAATACAAACAACACGTAGTCGTACTATTGCGTATGTAGACTTGTACACAAATTTAATTTCTGTACTGTATAAAGTAAAATTGGATTCCTATGTTAAAGTTGATTTTTGATGTATATTATATTGTACTGTGATGTCGACAAAACGAGTACGTGCAAATCCAAAGCTATTTCAGTGTTATGAGTAGGTACAGTCGCTGTATGAAGATTTATTATTTTGATTTCGGCTGTTTTAGTGTGATTGTTTAAATTATTCAGAAGGGTTGTTGCAGTGCAAATTTATATAAAATAAGTAAGTTACGTAAACAAGCCCTAAGGTTTATTGAATTATGGTTTGTCACACATATATGCATATATGTAGGAACACGAATTTTATTTCTGTGAGTTTTAATTTAATTTTCTATGTTAAAGTTTTTCATGTCAATAATTCATTTTGTATTTTACTAATATTATGCCAGTATTGTATACGTGTACGAAAAATAAACGTTTTTTAATTTATTTCCTAAATAAGTATAATCTTTTTATTATTTAAGTCGTTTTGTGTCAAGTATTTTAAGCCTGCAATTTTATTTTGTTTAAATTTGTGAACAATTCTCAAAAAAATACAACCGTTTTCAAGAAGCAATAATTATAATTTGATAAAGTCAGAACGTCATAACAGCAACGCCAATGACTTCATTAAAATTAATTGTTGCGTTTTGAAGGCGGTTATATATTTTTTTAATTATTCACAAACTATGTCCTTAGGCTCAATTTATATAGCAGCGGAACGGAATGGAAACGAATTTTTGTAACGTTATTGTACATAGCATAATGAATTTTATGGTCAATTGTGTAACGTACATGCTCGAGAATGCTCGAGCATTCCGCGGAAGATTTTGGCTCGTATCTAGTTTGTACCGTTACACAATCGACCATAATGTTCATTATGTTATGTATAATATCGTTACAAAAATTCGCTTCCACTCCGTTCCGCCGCAATATAAATTGAGCCTTATTTTAAACAAACAAAATGACTTAAATCAAAAATACCCCACATTTTAACCCAAGACGGTAAAATCTTACATTAAGATTTACCCCACATTTTAACCCAAGACGGTAAAATCTTACATTAAGATTGTAATGGACTTATTAATAGCAGAAAGTTGCTTTGATATAACTGAACCAAAAGTCATAATTTAAGAAATTTGGTTTCAGAATGAAATCAAACTTCTCTTAAACATAGAAAACATAAATCTTCAGTTAAATAATTATCTCTCAATTTTCATTCTTTTTTTTTCAAGTCAAAATCAGAAATTTCTAATAACAAATAAATATTTTCTTGAATCTAGAGTAGCTTTATGACTTAAATAAATTAATTTGCTCTTGGATTAAATATTTCTGTCTTAGAACTAAAATACACTTTTGAGACGTTTTTTTACTATTATCAAGTAATTATTCTCTAGCGTCTATAGGGAGCGAATCGTTTTCTTGGATTTAATAAAATTGTCTTCATACAAAGAAATTTGTCTATTTTTAAGTAATCTGTTTTTACCGTGTACAAGTCGGACGCTGAATGGAGATCCCAGGTTTGGATTCCTGATGGGTCCAATTTGGGAAATGAACTTTTATAAACTGGTTTTGGTCTAGGTGTTGTCGGTAGTGCTCCAAATTCGACCAGGCACATAGAGACCAGGTACATAATTGGCGCAAACACATTGTTATTAGTCTGACCTATGTTTATAGTAATTAAGCATTTTGGTTATATTGTTCGCGGACAACCAGACGGCCTTAACAGACTTTCATACATTCATTTATTCATTTAAAAACACTTGAAAGCTTACAGTATTTACATTACCAAAACGCTTACAAGTAAATCTGATTAAATTTAAAAAATATATAAAAATAAAATTAAGAAAAATGATATTACACAATTAAATTGGAAAACACACACTGCTTATAGTGGTGGGTGAGGTAATAATAAAGGAAAGAGACTCCTCGGTCGACCACCTAGCCGATGGACTGATCAATTGACCGCCCTTACTGATCTCCCTATAGTAACTGCCGTGAGGGATAACGTGAGGCTTCGAACGTCCATAAAGTCTCGAAAATCTTTCTGGAACACGGACCTTCAGCTATGAAGAATGCGACTTAGAAGAAATAATAATTATATCTCATTCAAACGCCAAAATGGCCCAACAGACCGATCCATTCCTCAAGTAGGCTATCTCTTGTCATCGGTCCATACATGGTAGAGAAGTATTAAAAATCCTGCGAACGCTAGGCGTGAATATATCGGTATCACAATATCTTCAAAATGACCTCGATCAGCATAAAAACTAGATCGCAAAACAACCACCTTTGCAGAGTGCAAAGCGACTAGATATCGAAATGACCATGTCGTGATGAAATTCCAGTACTAATTGTATTATATAACTGCGCGTTTATGTTTTCTCTAGCTTTAGCCTGCAATACTATGGAGCTTGTACTTAATAGTCGAGTCCTGGCAAACGCTGAAAACAATGGCCTTCCTGGTTTTATATATTTTATTCATGCTCAAAATATTGTTTACACGTCACTTTACCATACGATGTTATACAAGCTCGACGTTTCTAATATTCACTAAAGGGCTTCTCAAAAACATGGAGGTCCGTAAGGTATGTTGCAGGGTACCGGGCGCTACTGTAGTGTCCCGCAGATATTCGTGATTTAAAGCTTGTGTGTGGTACTGTAACTGTTATGGACAGGCGTGTTACTTACCATCAGGCGCTTTTAAACGACTTTTTGCCGTAGAATCATCTGTGAGAAATGTATTTCTAAAAATATATATTTTTTTAAAACAAACCAAAATAAAGATCTGCAATAAGCACATAGAAAAATTCGTAAGCTCCTCTGGTTCGATCCGTGGCTTAGTTGGCTTAGCGTCAGCCACGGTTTACTAAAAGACGTTGTTTCGAATCCAGTCAGGTCGAAGGATTTTTTTCTAAGTGAACGATCTTTGTATTAATAATAATTATGTTCTATAGTATATTGTATTGCGGCCGTCACCGCTTGCTGCAGCTTACTTATTTTTGGTAAATGAAATGTAACCTTACCTCGAAGAGAGCAAAGTTTATGTTTAATTTGCTCCTTTTAATGTAGCGCCACGCCGCGTCGTTTGTTCGATCTTTGTGTTAAGAATAATTAAATCTGTAAATTGTAATATTAATTGTAATGAAAATTAGAATCGTTTTTCCCCCAAAGGGAATAAAAACGGACATTTTGTGTCTAGCCAAGGTTTGACCCTCCAAGATTGCACTTGCATATTTTTATGAAGAATACGTGCTTTACCGTCCATTAGCAGCGAATTACGCTTCGTAAACGCGCCGCTAGTACTGCGTTGGCGGCGCGAGACGCGGGAGCCTGGCGGGCCGGCAAGCACGCGCGGGCGCGATTCTCAGTCCGTCTCGGAGCCCAAAACAACAGTGGACGGCAAGGACTCAACATTTGGGTTAAGCCTTGGTTAGACCCAAAATATCCGTTTTTATTCCCTTTGGGGGAAAACCGGTTCTATTTTAGGTCAGAGCCAGCGGCTTGACCCTCCGAGACGTGTTTGGTTTCTGCCGGCCTATGAAACAGCGTACTGTGATCTGCCAATGAACTAGATATTATTTAAATGTTATTATATTAAATTATATGATGGTAATAATCTTTAGTAAAAGTCCGGCTTATGTGTATAATCTGCTTTTTTATCAATGGTTTAAGTTTTTTAACAAACAGACTGAAATGCTAGTAGTAAAGAATTCAAAATGTGACAACATGTTCACAAAACATAACATAAAAGTTATTATCATTAAAATGAGATCGTGTAATCAGATACACTGAGTAATCAGTCTTAAATCAACTAAAGAACTGAAACTTATAACAAATTGTTAACATTATCTAACTATAAACGAGGCGCTTAAACTGTTTGTTACTACAGGAGCTTCGGTCCGTTTGAATCTTAAAATAATGCTTGAAGAAAGTATTTTCACTTCTCCAATTGCCCTTGGTTAAAACTTCATCCTGTGGTAATAACTCATAATTTCTTGAAGCAACTGCTGCTCTTATGCTTCCAGCTGAATCTGTTATTCCTAATTGGTCAAGTACAGAACGCAACCATCCTGCTATGACACATTGGGACGCAGGCTTTACAACGCCGCGGATAGTAATAAAAAGACTTAATAGGCTTGGGTTTGAATTACGTCGATCATTGGATACATTTCTTAATTTGTCGATCCAATAAGGAACACACAAATTCCTTAAACTATTTCGTTTAAATTCCCAACCCGATTGACGATACAAAGCCGAATCGGTTTTAGAACCGAACCTTGGCCAGAACACTAAGAAATCTTGGGAAATTTGTATGTCCTTCTGGGTCAAATGTAATAGTGTTAAATCATGAATACGACGCCCTGTACTTAGTAATAGTAAAAACGCTACATGCCTGGAAATCTTATACAAGTGTTCTTCGTCGGGGGGATTTTGGGACAGCCAATCAACAAGCTTTGAGATATCCCAATAAGATTTTGTTAGTCTAGAAGATTTTGGTTTCTGTA